ATGGAGGCGATAAGTTCCTCCGAAACGTCGGTTAACACCACATATACACGGTGCCAAATCCCAGAAGACTGCTTTCTTCATAGTCACCGCCGTGAAAGCCTCAAATCTAACAAATTAGTAACATGACGGTACGTAGAGATTCCTACCGAAATTTATATCGCTACATTTACTGATGCGGATCCGTATTAGAACACAATCCAACAAGAGAGATGTATCCAGCTGAACGCAAATATGTAGCAGATTCAGAGTAATTAAAAATATTAATACGGCAATACTGGTTTATTTATTTGAGTCTGTTGTGGTGACAGCTACAGAATAATACCACACTGTGATACACAACAGGATGCACACAATAAAGATGAAATTATACACCTACAGAACGAAAGGTAGGTCTAGGTGGAAGGAAACGTTAGGAAAAGGACTGAGGCCAGCAACACCTTTAACAGCAGCAGCAACAACTTAATAAAACAGACCATACGAAACAAAACGTTGAAAACATTTTTACTATATAGGCTAGGGCCACATTAAGTGGGGCCGAATATAGCGTCCAGTGGTAAGCACCTCTGCTTTGTATTAGAGAAGTCGCGGGTTCAAAATTCCGTGAAGAGACCGACTATTGTGACTGAGGTTGTCTGTGGCGCCCCTTAGTCGTTCCATACCCTGGTAGAGTATTTTAAAATAGGTTCCGGTGGCTTCCTCCTACAGCCTTTCCGATTCAACAACAAACTGCATTAATTCGGGTTACATAACTCGTGCAATTAATATAGCTTCGACAAATACGTCAGGAATCATTGTAAGACATGCTGCAAATGCGATGTTCATGAAAAATAGTTGCGAAAATTACAACGGTCAACAAATGTTGACAGTCACAGTGGCAAGATAATCAGAATTTCATTTCTCCAATTTCCCAATAGAACCCAACGGGTTTCTCTCGATAGACAATTATGACAAACTGTAGAACCTACTTCTTAGGTTCTGTAGATCTCTGGGTTAGGTTCCCCTGTCTTTTTTTCTTTTTGGAATTATTTCCGAGTACACCAGAAACCTACAAACATTATAATCTCACACCACTTCTCCACTAGAACTGTTGCACTAATCAAAACTTCAGGTTTCATTGTTCATGGGGCATACAATAATCACACCAATATGTCTGTCTGTACTTGTTGAACTGACTTGATTTTTCTCGAGGAACCAACATGTGTATGTCTTATATCGCCCACAATACTGCAAACTTATCTGGGTCCTTTATCTTATATAATTAAGCCGTATTACGCTAATTAAAACATGGGCTGTAAGCTAAAATGGCAATCGAACGCTGCGATTGTTGGTTCGAATCCCACTCAAGGATCAGATGTCTGTGTGTGCGTTTATCCTGTGTTTGTGTTGACCTGTGTGTAGGTAGCGGTCTTGCGACGGGCTGATCACTCGTCCAAGGGCCTTACTGCCTGTGTAAGAATGATTACGGAACTTCATACGAGGACAGGGCCCAATAAAGGACTGTAGAGCCATTGTTGAATGAATGCAACAGCTCACATATACAGTAGTTTCTTTAAGGTAATTTCAGAGCTGCCTCTGAAGGACTGTATTCCTGCTTATAATTCGAATCAAAAGCAAGTGAACCGTCACTTGAGGTATTTTTCTTTCATTCGTATGTACAAATGATGCAATATGGACTGCACATGCTACATAATGCTCTACAATATATAGCATAACTGGGTGCAGTGGTACATTAAGATACTCTCCCAAAATGCAAATGGGAGAGACTGAGCAAAATCGCTTTAGAGCTCAATGAGGACAATAATTCGAGCCCCATTAGACTCCTTATCACAGGGTTAAACTGGCGATAATGGCCAACACCAAGACACCCACCTCCTTCCACGTCAATAACAGCATATAGATTAGCGAGCAGAAGTAACGCCATTCCTCGCAATATCATTGCTTACAAGTTATCCTCCTGTGGTCATCACAGTTTGTTTCAGGATGCGCAGCTGTGCGGATATGCAGCACAGTGGTCACAGTCGCTACCACTGCTGCTGCTGCCACTACTACTACATCATCAGCGCCTTCTGGGAGTCAGGAAAGCGACTGGATGCGGGCCGAACGACTGCACCCTGAATCCTGTACCCAAACAGGACGTCGGAACCAGCAAGCTTCCTCACCACTGGAACCTTGCTCCCCCGGGCCGATGTATGCAAGGGGCAAAATGAACACTCAGCTTCACCTAGCGCCGAGTTTTAGAGTGCGTGTAGCTTTACTACCACCCCCACGTGCCTTCAAGACGCAGTATTCATGCTCAGGGACAATTTCATATAAATTTATAATAATAATAATAATAATAATAATAATAATACGTAATAATATAATATTCAGAAAACTGACGCAGTAGCGTAGTTAGTTGAGGCACTGTGCTACAAGTCGGAAGGCCGCGGGTTCGAGGCCCGATTTTTTTCAATTTACCTAATTCTTTCAGCCGCACTATGGGCCTGGGGTCGACTTAGCCTCTAACAGAAATGAGTACCAGGAATCTTCCTGCCGGCGCATAAGGGTGACAACCTCACCGCCGACTGTGACCCCTACTGTCTAGATAAAATGTGGGAGCCTCGATGTGTCACAACTCCATGGGCCTTCGCGTCCTGTTACAGGGATAGTCTCTTTTTTTCCTTGGCACTACAGCCCCAGTGGGCCTAGGCCTACCTCCATGAATTTCTCCTTTCACTTCGGTTTTCCTAGATCTTACACAATCGGTAGGACTCCTAGGGCAGGTGATCAGCTCGTCGCAAGGCCTCTACCTGTACACAAACACAGAAAAACGCACACACACACAAACTAAACATCCGTGCCGTGAGTGGGATTCGAACCCACGATCCCGGTTTCCAATCGAGCGAAGACAGTACATGCATTAGACCGCTCGGCTACCGTGACCGGCCACAGGGATAGCTTTACCTTTTTTAATTGATACGCTATTGGTCGTTTTGTTTCCATTCCGCTGCTTTGCGTTCATGCTGACTCAGAGTCGGGCATTGGGCTGAGTCCGCATGTAAACAAGGTACGGAATTGTTGTTGTTGCTGCCACGGTCACCACCAAGACTATGAAAACTAAACACAAGCCATTTCTGCGTGAATTTCTTAGGGGACTTCAATGTCTCTGACTATGACTGGGTAAAGCTTTTTCCCCACGCTAACTCACATTAATACGCCAAATGATAAACGATGTTATTCGTAACGCTGCATGTTGCCTTGGGCTTGTCAGCAAAACATCACACTCACAGCGTGACTCTTCTTGGTCGTGACATCAATTCAGAAATTGCTCAGTCCTTGACTTTTAACACTTTCACTTGGATAGTGTTCTAAGTACATCACTGGCCTTCTCTTGTCATTTATGTGGCAGGTAGTGGGAACATACGTTGCACTAGAGAGGATAACACTCGTACTTCCACACCTTTGTCCTCCACAGCCCTTTCCTCAATTCATTTATTCCTTACGTACCTTCGTGTACTAAAACACTGAATTAAGTTGGCCACAGTTCCGGGAACGGAGCTGCTACCGACGTGAAGTACTGCTGAATACGAACAAGACAACATACACATAGTCAGGCAGTCCGAATACACAAAGCATCTATTATTTATATTTTACATATATTTCCATTGCGGGGATTTTGCTACGCTTTACAAAACGCAATCCTCTTATGTTTGGTCTTGTGCGTTTAAGCGGCCCTCTACTAAGTGCTGATAACAAAACAAATCCTGTAATAACTGATGCTTTAAACCAGCATTTCTCCTATTTGTGCTTCAGTCCAAGCTCTCTTAACAATCTTCTAGAATTTAAATATATTACTGCACCTTTAAAAGGAGGGTTGCTATATTTGTCGTTACAAGCGAATTTCCCATACTTTTGCAAAATTACTAAAATCAGCCTATTACGAAGTCCAATATCAGGCGTTGTTGATAACGCCTTAAAACTCATATAAACAGTGCTTACAAACAAGAATATGGCCCACACTGGCGGAATTCTTCCGTCAACCTCAACCTCAACCTCATGGAGCATGGGTTTCTATTCAGGGCTCTCGTGACTATGACAAAACTCTAAAATCATTTAATTCTTGAAAGCACAGTGGTCACTATATGTAGAGCCCGCGTTAACAGTAAAAACTCCTGCATTTATTCTCATACTTCACTGAAGAGCTTTCAGAATAAGCAGAGATGATTTCGTTACTAAACTTTAACAGACTGGTTTTCGTTACGCAAACCCAGCGTGCTCATTGTGAGGAGGATAAAAATCTGTATGTTTTCTGCATGAATTCCATGCCTCCAAGTGTTTAGGAACTACTACTGCTCCTTTAATTCACTGTATAACCCTTGTGGACGTTGGCCGCTTTTTCACTTTCTAAATCTATACACAGTCGGTAGGGATCCATGGACGCGGGATCAGCCAGTTGCAAGGTCGCTACATACACACAGATCAACAGAAACACAGATTAAATATACACAGACATCCGTGCCTGGAGTGGGATTCGAGCCCACAATCCGAGCGGTCGAGAGGGGAAGAAGGTTCATGCCTAACACTGAGCGGCCACTGTGATCGGCCTTAATTTAACTTTTTCACTGGCTCTACAGCCCCTTGCGCCCTGGCCTCTGATTTTCAGTTCCGTAATCATTTTTCACAGTCGGTAGGACTCCTTGGACGAGTGATCAGCTCGCTGAGAGGCCTCTATCTAAACACATGCCAACATGAACACAGAGCAAACACATACACGTACACATACTAAACATCCATGCCCTGAGTGGGATTCGAACCTGCGATCCCGGCTCCCGAGCGAGTGAAGACAGTTCAAGCCTTAGACCACTCGGCTACCGTGACAGGCCGATATTTACTTCTACATACAGATAAAAATATCGTTTCTGCATGAAAATCGTGAAATGTGCAAATCTGATTATTTCCTTCTGCGTGTGTGTGCTGTGTTCGAGGGTCACGTTTTACAAAAGCAACAGCAATATATTTACCTAAGTAGGTGCTGTTGGTTAACACCCAGAACACCTTCAACGGGTCGACCATTACCAACACTGCGATGAGAGCAGCAAGTCACGGCTGCTGCCACTGCAGAATGTCAGCACTGACACCACTAATAACACTAATACACATCAAGGGCAGCACTGTGTGCAATGCCCCAGTCGCACTCATCACTAGCCACAGCACTAACACTACCAACTTATCATCACATGGACCAAGACATAATTACATTAAATAAACTGTTATGTTAATCTACAATACAACAAACCCGTTATACTTCTGTAAATTACTTGTAAAGGTAAAAATAAATTTACATCGTCAAAATATTTGCTTAAATTATTTCAGGCATTCTCCTGGTATATTTAAATATATATAAAATGAATATCTGCTAGGGATGAAGAATTTGACTTCTTCAATCTATACAACAGTTGAATATTCAATGATAATTCTCGAATACGTCTAATAAGATTAGTCAGTAATTGGTATCATATGCATACATCATACGACACGACAGAAACATAACCGGCGTGCTGGAGCGTCGGCGTCGGTAGCACAACTGAGGGTACATGGGACGGATACATAGATGTTGGGGAGGGGCTGAGGGGTAGCGGTGAGTACCACCGAGCGAATCGTAACGCTGCCCAAACCACGCCTACGACGCGACCTATCACACCACTGAGATTAAAGAAGTAAACTAAATACAGAAGTGCAGTACTGTACGAAGCTCCTTCATGCTATTGGCATATACAGGAAGCAGTAACCACAAGTGCACTCACAAAAATAGATTGACGTATCAGTTTAGAAAGAAAATGCACTCACAGAGATGCTTGGAAGTATGTACGAGTTGAGCGAGGACTATCGTTCTAGAGAATCGAAAATCGAATTCACTACAACTTCAACCATCCAACAACAACAATCAAATTGAAAGAAGGAACTTTAAAAATGTTATAGTACGAATTTCTAATAACGCCCAGGCCACTCAATGGAGCAATTTTGTGTGCGCGCGCGTGCATGAGTGCATTAGCATGTACATTGTGAACACTCGTCATCTTGAAGCCGTTAAAATGAACTTCTTGGTGTTTTGCTTTCATGTAATTTTTGTACGCTTTCCTTTATTTATTTTCTCTCCACTATTTCATAGGAATTACTATTCAACTTGTAGTCTGTATTCACTGCCCCTGATAATTTTCGTTATGGCGTACCACATTTGCTTGTTACAGCGTCACGATCATTTTCAGTCGTCTCGACTGTGCACAAAGCGTAAAATTATGGCCGTAAGTGTACTACGAGACAATTTCTAGAAACCATCTGTGCGATTCTCAAGCAGATTTCGTCATAGCTTTGGGGAGGATGTAAGCCGGCCTCCACGACACGAAGACAACAGTATAGTAACCTGTTTTGGGGCAGCTTATGGACAATATTACAATTGAAGAAAGCAGTCTTCTGGGATTTGGCACCGTGTATATGTGGTGTTAACCGACGTTTCCTGTACGGCGATTCATTTATAAGCCATTCGATTAAGGTAAATTTAAGATTCATGAGCATGTAAAAAGTAGGTATTACATTCGACTGGTATGAAATAAAATTAGGTAAGAAACAAAAAGAAATCCGTGGTTTTAGTCCGCAAGCGAACTATACCGACAGAGCGACCGCCGCTTGCCAGCGAAGTCAGTGCCAATATTAGCGTAGAGAGGGTGTCGCGTGCTTAGCGCAACGGATCCCCAAGGCCGTTAATTTCTATTTTCTAGACCGGAGCTGCTATTTCATTGAAATAGCTCCTCAATTATCCTCATGAGGCTGAGTGGACCCCGTTCCAGATTCCTTACATCTCAGTAAAACTGGCAGCGCCGGGAATCGAACTCGGGACCTCTGGATCTGTAGTAAGGAAAATATTTAGTGAGACTCTCCTATGCCAAATTTAATTGTAATACGTCTTGTATTTTCGAAGATGAACCATGTGATGGGCACATTCCCGTAAAGTGTCCACTTTATGCTCTTTGTACAAAGAACGCAGGCTATAGACGAAATCATTTTCAATTAAGCAATCTGTCATAACACGCTGAGTAAGCTACAGGGACTGACAGAAGAAATAAATATACAAATCTGTGTTAACTAGAAACGCAAAAGGAATTACTTTTAATTAGTTTCCGAGTATCAGAATGTACAATTCAATGTTATAATACAGAATTAATTGCGAATAAATTTTCAGACAGTTTATATAAATCCTAACATGAAGTATGCCTATTTGACCCAGTGAGACAGATAATTAACTGCAGACCACCCAATATGTTAGGTAATAAGGATCTATGTAATAATCACCGTTATCAATCAACTGTACCATGACATGATGAACATTAACTGTTATAATGATATCGGGGGGCTAGATTCAAGGGCATATAGAATGCATTTCCTCTGCAGCTAATTCTGTTTTAACTTCTATTACGAAGGATTATCAGTATTATCTGCCTTGCATCTTTCCATGGTTTTGCAAACTTTCCTGTGGACCGTACTGAAGTGCCATTGTTCCATAAATTTCAATAATTTTCACTCCCTCTGACAACATTATTCGAATCAGAAATCGTTGTCCGTCTTAAGCACAGCAAAGCAGTCCCTTTTTGTTTTCGTTGCCACCGATTAAAGATCCACCTCCCACAAGGTCCCATCATGCGACCGTCAATTCCGGCCAATCGGTGCGCTCCTAAGATAATTTGGCAGGTCTCAACCAATCAGCGACGCCTTTCACGGGGGTGTTTTGAGCTCAGCTTGGTTCCTTTTTAGTTTCTTCAGAGACACACCAAGATTGAAGCAACCAACATATCAAGGCAGCAGGAAATCTGATCCCTCAGTTTGGGCTAGAGTTCTTCATTTTATATCCAAAGCATCTATTAATATTAATGTTTCAATAAGTTCTTATAATGTTTATTATCAAAATTGCATGTTTAAATTTTATGAATTACGTTTCAGGGCGAAAAGTCAACTTCTGACTGTCTTGGTAAGAACTAAGTTTCACATATATCCCACATTCGATTAATGACAATTTCAATAAATGTTCGTTTCCGTGGAACCGATTAACATCGTAACCGAGGGCTCAGATTACATGAATGGAACAACTACATTAAACTTATCGCAAGGTTTATAGACACTCGCAACAAAATGATGATTAATAAGAAACAACTAAGGCCCGTTGTCGTTTTCAGTACACCAAACATTACTTTCGACGTAAACTAAATTTCTTTTTAGTCTGTAAGAATTTTAGGAGATTCATATTTCGAAACAAGGAGTTTACTAAGTTCAAATCATTACGAGGACAAGAACTTACGTATACATGAATGACATGAATTCATCATATTTACGTGTTAACAGTCGCGTAGTTGAACTTGCCAGGTGGAAATAATCACGAAATTCGGGTAACAGTGAGGATATAGGAGCTGACGCAAGTGTTGCCCTTGTTAAGAAAAATGTTTATTTCTTGCGGGTTGTACATTATTATCCGATCTACAATACGTCTTATAACTCTCCAGATGTTTTCACATGTTATACACACATTTACTCATATAAAATCATTACGAAAACTGGAAGAAGAGCACACAATGAAATGAAAAACGGCATGCTTAGTTCAAAACTTATATTTTCAGCGTGGATAGTACGACAAGTCGCATTGTACTCAACTCGTATGAACTGTGTGCGCAAAACACAGGAACATCTAAAACCTGTTTTACGGTTTCCTGAAGTTAAAGCGACTGCGGTGTATAAGAATTTAGAATAGCACAACATCTTACACTTTCGTAAATTACAGGGAATTCAGAAGTATTCCCTCTTACGTTCCCGGCGCATGACATGCGTGCGAGCAAACACATATAGAAGAATAAAGAATTGATACATTTGTTTCTTTAAAAAGGAGCAAAGTTAAGAGCAGCACGGTCACAGCAGAAAATAAATATAGTATCATAGGATGAATACGCAGTCTGGCGGTTGTCGAGTGGGTTCTGTTTTAAAACTAATGCAAGCCTAATATAAAATTAATCAACTGGACATACACTTATTCCTGATATCCGAAGCAAAAAGAACATTTGGGAGATTTAGGCGTCCATTACGAGGTAAAAGGCAGTTATCTTTGGGCTTAATCCACTACGCACCACGTCAGTAAGACGTAACTGGGAGTGGAGGTACAGTTCCACCATTCTTGACCTCGGCACAGAATGGAGATGCGTGGTCAGCTTCACGCCCTTACTAATGTACCCTCGGGTGCTAATATTAAAATAGGGTGTGAAGCTGTAGGACCGTCTCTGTGGTCTAGTGATCAGAGTTCCTGGCTACGGATCCAGAGAAGTAGTGGGTCTGGAACGGGGTCCACTCAGCCTCGTGAGGATAACTGAAGAGCTTTTTTCAAGGAAACAGCGGCTCCGATCTAGATATCCGAAATTAACGGCCGTGGGGATACGTTGCGCTGACCATGCGACACCCTCTATCCGCTAAAGTTGGCACTAACTTCTCCGACAAGCGGCGGTCGCTCGGTCGGTATAGTTCGCTTGCGGACTAAAACCAAGGGAGTTTGCTTTTTGTTCTTTTGTGAAGCTATAGATTCATCTGGCTCAGGATAGAGCACTGTAAGCATGGCACTGAATTTTCGGGTTCCATAAGTGAAATGTAATTTCTTCAGCAGATGAGGGACTACTGGCTTCTTAAGTAGCCTGCTCCAAGTACTGTTACCATCTTCCCTATGTCTGTACTAGATTCCGCCCATCTCTTCATCCCTGAGTTCATCACCCTAACAATATATGCATGGCAGCGCGGTCTAAGGCACGAAATGTCTTCGGTCGCTCAAACAATGGAATCGTGGGTTCAAACACCACTCGAGATATGAATGTATGTATGCGTTTCTTCTGTGTTTGTATTCTCCTACGTAGGTAACGGCCTTCTGTTGGGCCGATTCACCGATCAAGTAGTCCCTACCAACTGTCGGTGAGATTTTTAATTTCAGAATTAATTCTGAATGGAAACAGGCCAGACGGGCTTGTCCGCCAAGGTAGAAGAAGCAGGACAATATTTGTTCAACCATATAAATTACGAATCTCCTCATCAGGCCTTCATGGTTTTCTCAATAATCCAGTTACCTCCCCACTCTTAGGTTCAAATGTTTTTCTCGACTCTCCGTCCCTAAACATCACAAATCTATGGCACCTTCTCAGGCTGACGCATCAACTTTCACATCCATATGTGATGTATACGAGACGGGAAGATGCTCTAAAATATTTTGCAAACTCAATTACACCAGACAATTGCAATAAAGGTGCAAACACTGGAAACGTCGGCTGTGAAAATCTGGTTACATAAAATTCAAGCAGAATCGATAACAAAGTACAAAAAATAGAACCGAAGTGTCCATCCTGAATAACAGATCCTTTATTTAAATTGCCGTGAAAACACCGTCTCCTTTAAGAGTTTCTATGATGCCAACACAACTGTATCTCGGTAAAAAAAGGTAAAGTTGTCCCTGTGCTTAACTAATTAAACACTACGCCATGAAGACGTA